GAGGTAGCACTAGGATTAGAATAGCTAGAAATAGTTAATCAGATTCTTCATGTAATGGTTGTAACTTTGTTTCATAAGTTAATAAAAAACTATCGCATGTAATGTGCTTTGCCTCTAAAAAAAAAAAAAAAAAAAAAAAAAAATTATATTAGATTATAGTTCTAAAAATTGAAATTAAATAGAATCGAACAGAATCACATGAGATTTGAAACACTATTAAAAATAATGGTGGAGTATATCTCACTTATTAAATTTAATATAAACTTGAAAATTGAATACAGAATTAAAAAGAATTATTAGAATTCTTATATTAAATATATCTAAGAAACCAATGCATAACTATTGTTACTTAAATTTTCAAAAAGTTATATCTTACAATATTCAAAGCAAAATAATAGCCAATGTCAATACTAAAACTATAAAATCTATTAATAGAAACTAAAAGACTTTCTACAAATAAATAAAAAATATTTATAAAAATCAAAAAGCTTATAAGTAGAAATCAAAAAGCTTGCAGGTATCATATTAAAAATTGAAAAATCTAATAAAGTAACATATAATAACCAGAGATTCTAGTTACTCTTGTAAATAGAACTAATGGTAATAATACAAGTTTTTTACTTAATTTTTGACAATATAAGTCTATATGCTAAATTAGATACAAATGCTTTTAAAAATCTTCAATACAATTTTATTCATTGGATATTTATATTATATTTGAAAAATAGATATATCAAATTCTTTATGTGACTTGAAGGCCAACTTGCATAAAGTGATTGCAATGTCTTTATATATAAAGATATTTGATTTTTTTTTATACTTTTATTATCTTTGCCTACTATATATCAAGCTAAATTTGAAAAGCAAATATATAAATTCCAATCATAACTTGGAGACAAATCTATATATTTGACTGTAATACTTTCATATAATTGGATATCATACAAATACTTTTAATCTTTTGCTAGATATTATTTAAGATTTAGTATAAAACTTAATATTATTTTTTCTTTATTACTTAAATAGTTAAAAACTAAAATAAATTAATTAATTTTTTAAGTTTTATATTAAACTCTTTTTAGTAAAGAGAAATATATGTTAGTTAAGTATAATTATAATATTTTTTGGAGGAGTTTCCCCAGTAGGTAAATATTATTTCAAAAGAGTTAAATGCTAGTTTGCCTACTTATCAATATCTAACTAATATTATAAAAAAATTCAAAATCAATATTAATGTGCTAGATAAGGTTAAGTAATAGCTATACCTACTATCCCAGGAAATTTTGCAAATTCTTTTGATTTTTTGAATATAAAAAATTGAAAAAAAAAATAAAAGTGACTATAATTAAAACTAAATCAAATATATTATAAGATTCATGTGTTGATGAAAGAACCTCCTGGTGGACTTATGGTTCCAACTCTCTGTTCTTTTGCATGTTATAAATAATAGAGTACATGTGACATTGTTTATTGTTATGGTCATTAGTAATAAGTTAATTGTTATAATTGTTGTTATGGTACAAAACTGGTTTGAGCTTGTTTGGTTTTTGTTTTGATTATTTACGAAATATAATTGGATGATTGAAAAATGCTAATTATCTGGAGAGGGTAAACTGATTTTGATTTTTGAGTACGAATTTTTTGAAGATTGAAGGTGATACAGCAAATATTGTTATGAAAATATTGTGTATAAGGGTTGACTTAAAACAAATAATAAATCCACTAACTTTGTTTGAATATGTATTTTGAAAAGTATTTGACTTAGCGAGTATTAGGGTTCTGAAAAAGTATCAAACTGATATCAAACTGATATCAAAACAATACTGATTTATAATAAATTTAATATATAGGTTGTGACCTATTCATATGTTTTTATAGTAAATTTAAGTATCGAACTGGTATCGAAATAGTATCGAAGTGATATTATTAGGAGTCCTAGTGAGTATAATGGTAATGATGTGAATGATTTTTATGATAAAATAAGGGTAAGGTAGGGTGCAAGAGAATTGAAGAAAAGAAAACTGCTACGGGCTTTTCCTTATATAACTGAAGAATAAGCAAGACTTCCAAACTTGAATAGACTTCAACCAGAGATTCCATTCCACTGTATCAGTTATCTTAAAGATTCTTGAGTTATTAAGCTGAGGCTCACTTGTGATAAAGAGTGTAAAACATTTTTTCGTGCTTAAAATTACTATAAAAGAAAAATTTTTAACAAAACGGATATGATCAAGAGAGAGTTTTTTTGTATAATTATAATATTGCTATAATAAGCGAACAATTATAAATAATAAAATTAGATTGATAACCACCTTAATTTATAAAAAAAAAAAAACATTTATTAATTTTATATATTAATTATAATTAAAATTATTATTTTAAAAATTTGATATATTTGTTAAATTATTTAAAAAATTGACAAATAATATTATAAACAATTTTTAATTAGTATAACAAGAAATTAAAAAAATATAAAACTTTGAATAAAATATTTATTTGAATATGTAACTTTTATTTTTATAAATTTTATAAATTATTTTAATATAGTTTTAGTTTTAATTATTATTTTTTTTTTATTTTTTTATAAAATTTAAATATTTTGAATTGCTTAATACTATTTAATACAATATATTGTTTTTTTAATATAGATTAATATGTAATTATTTTGTAAATACAGTATCTTAATATTTAACTTGTTAATACATTTTTTTATATATTCCATATAAATAAAGATTTACAAGCTTTTTTACTCAAAAAAAAAAATCAATTATTTATATATGCATGTATGCAATTAAAAATTTGATAATGCCGACCTTATCTTTTTAATTTATAGCATTTAACTTTCAGGTCACGAGATGTTGCCATTAAATTTAGATTTGTTTTCGCACGTGCCTATTCGCAATTAATCCCATATTCTGTAAATGACGAATAAAAAAAATTTTTTTTTTGCCTCAAGGACACTTGGATCTATGTGGATTATGCCACGATGTACTTAACTTTTTATTATGAAAGTTCGTTGCCATAGAATTTAATTCTTGTGTCCACTATATCAATGACCAACTCTTAAATAGGAACCGTTTACTAGTACCAGATAACATTTTGGTCGATGGAAATGCGGGCCGACAGGTTTTGGTACACCTTATCCTGCATTGTGAACTATTTTCGTTGTATCACCTTTTGATGACACAATAAATAGTTACGAAAAATGGTTTTGCTATACAGAGATATTTGAATTTCGATATTTCTTTTCATTATGACTCAAATAAATAATAAGTTGGACGCGCCACCGAGTTATGATGAGGTTGTTGGGACATCTTCAAGCTCGACATACAGTTATACTACGACTGGGGGATTTCCTTTGCGACCTATCAATTATCAAACTGCACCATTCTCTTCACGAAACTTTTTACGAAATTATCGAAAAAAATCATTTTTTTCTCCCCTAAAAGAAGGAAGAAATTGGGTGGCAATATTATATCTAATATTATGGGATCTTCCCTATGCATTATTTTGCTTTGGGTGGGTACTCGGGACTCTCTTTGGAAGCATCTTCTCCCTTATAATTCCTCCAGTTGGTTATGTGTTATTGCTTTTTTCCGTCTATTCATGGAGGTACTATTTTTTTTTTTTTCACGTGAATGGTGATTTACATTTGGTGATATTTTCGCAATAGTCACCGATAATCTATTAAATAATCCGTTTACTTTGACAGAATGCTCGCGAGGCTAGAAATTGCGATATCAAATTCTGTCTCCCAATCTTCCAGTATCACTTTATCAACGTACACTCCACTCCCATCAATCACGCAAGGGTCTCCAACCAGCTATCCCAGCAGTTTAGATCATGATCGTTTCCAAACAAGAATCGAATATCTATTTTCTCTTTCCAAAGATGGATTCACCGTTCGTGCAGTTATGTACTTTCTCTTTGCAAAACTTGCAATGTCCATAGCACTATTTGTGTTAACCATTTCATTATTTTCATTGAGTATTATCTCTCTATTATTTTTATTACCACCTTTTCTGAAGATAGGTAGAATATTAGTTGATTGGGAGGCGAAAATGGCAAGGAAACTTCTTTTAGATTGATAGTCTTTAATTTCCAATAAGGCGATGTGATAACTACTTTGAGGAACAGTATAATAAGATCGTTCAATGAAAAAATTCAAAAAGAACATGTGAAAATATTTTTACAAGACGTTTGGTTAAAAATAAAAATCTAATAACTAATTTACATAATAAACAAAAAATCAGAAATTGGGAAATGTGAATATCCAAGTTAAAATACGATCATTTTTTTTCGTCCCTTTTCTTTACTTATTCCATTTTGAATTTCCTTTTCCTTTTTCTTTAATGCATCATGAGCAGTCTCAATCTGATTGATTTTTTCTCGAAAATGTTTGGCCATGGTTGGATCTTTCTTTTCATTCCTTTGTAATGATTCTTTAGCTTTTTGAAGCTCGCGTTGTGTTTGATTTAATTGTTGCTGTATCTGGTATAATGCTAGGTTATGATTGACTTCTGCAGGTTTACGGTCACGTTTTAGTCTATCCGTCATGGAATTTGATGTTTCATTCGAAGACGTGTTACGAGAAGACGAAGATGACACGTTGATACTGTCCATGTCATGTGCATCATTTCCTCCTTTGTTAAGAGAAACATTCAGGAAATCAAAAACATTCGGCTGTGATTCAGCAATAAGATCATTTCCAATTTTAGAACCAATACGTTTGCGATGTCTGTGTCTCTTTGGTTCAATCTCAGTCCCACGATCGTGATGACGACGACGATGAGGTCCAATTTTATCTGGTTTGTCAATGTAGTCCAGGGAGACACCTCTGGAAAAGAGTTTTACTTCAATTGGGTTTACGATACCTTCACCGTTCTTACCCAATCCTTCGCCCTAAAGAAAATATTTGGTTATTTGAATCAGGTATTGCCATTAGAAATGTTCAGGTGCATACCATCTTATAGCCCATCTTTGCCATCATACGACTAGCAACTCCCGTTGTATGTTTCTCCCATTCTGCAAAGTTATCATTGCCTTTGTCTCGATTATCAAATGGAGTAAATGAAAACCGACCGAAACCCGTATCAGATTCCAAAGTTGAAATTTCACTCGACACAAAATCATCGCTAAAACTATCACTTTCGTCGTTAGAATAATCACTTTCATCGGTCTCGTTTTCTTCAGAAAAGATCCCATCTTTTCCTCCTTCATCATCCAGTGATTGAACTGGTATTATTTCATCGGGTCCAACCACTACTCCATGTGGATTTTCGTTTTCATATCCGTTGTATGTCACTCGGAAACCCAAACCTTTAGATTCGAGACCAATTAATTTTGCCAAATACCAAACTTCATCTTCGTACTTGGCCCAAAAATTTCGTCCAACTTTATACGCATCCATCTGACCAACATGCAAGATCTCATATGGAACTACGAGCTCAGAGGAAATTTCTTCTCCGTGGGAGCGCTCGTGAGGACAAATCCCTGTGCATTGATTTGACAGATATTTTACACAAACTCGTGTGGATGGTGTAATCGGCGTCAAAATCAGAACATTGCAAGTTTTTACTTCAAAATCGATATTTTGTATCAAACCAGGAAGGAAATATACTTTCTGATTTTCTGGATGAGTAAATGGTATACAACATTTTTCGCCGACTTTCAAAACATTTAAATCTGAATTGGAATTGGTAGGATCTCCTTCGTTGAGCGACATTGAAATTTCTGCAGAATTCGGCTTATATATATCCAAAGAGCAAAAAAGGAAATCAACATGAGAACTTTTTTGATCCGTTGCCTTGATATTTATGTTGACCATATATACAAGGTCCTCACCATATCTCCTATTTCGTGGCTCGATGGTTCTACTGAACAACCAATGAGCGCAAGTAAATCATCTTTTTTCCTTTGTAACAGTTTTTCCTGTTGTAACTTTATTAAATTTTGCAGTACTTCTGCAAGATTAATGAGTTCTGGTTCTTCAGGGCTTAAGACCAAAAGTTCTTTTATTTCGGCCAAAGAGTTCTCATTTTCCTTGAGCGAGGATTCTATTTCTGCTGTGGATAATTCGTCTTGCGTAGACATTTCTTTTTAAACGAGAAGAAGTGTGTAACTTCGTCTAAATGCGACTGCCTTATATATACTAGTGAATATAGTTGATTAACCAATGAACATAAAGGAACCATTTTAAAATGATCATACATATGTGCCCAACTTTCGTATCTTTAGAATAGAGTAGAAATTAGTAACCGGGTTTCATACTTTCATTTCTAAAAATTTTCATCACTCATTATGGATAGAGCGAAAAAAGTTGTCAACGAGAAGCACGAGAGCATCTTACTTGAGCTTTCTAAACAACCCGGAAACGACACATGTGCAGATTGTGGCGCAAAAGGTTGGACTATACACTTTCCACATAGTTTTTTACGAACAAGAACCTTTATTGAGATTAAAGAAAAAAAAACTTTTTCTGAATTTTCATAGGACCACGATGGGCGTCCTACAATCTTGGCATTTTTCTTTGTATTCGCTGCTGTGGGTTTCATCGCAAAATGGGAACCCACATATCCAAAGTCAAGTCGATAACTTTGGATTCTTGGACACCGGAACAGATCGAGGTAGCTGAAGAACCAAAATTTCTTTTTTCTGTAAAAATTTTAGGGATCTTTAATTTAATCTAATTAATTTAAAAGTCCATGCGACAATGGGGTAATTTGAAGGCCAACGCCAAATGGGATCCTCATCCAGAATTGCATCCTATATCAATCACTGCTTCCGATAGGTATATATAATGAGCAACCATTTATTGGCATGTATATTTTATTCATATTTTCTGTAAACCTTAGCGAAATCGAAAGGTACATACGGAATAAGTACGAACGAATGGCTTTTCGAGATAATAAGGTAATGATTTAACTTCTTTTAAATATTACAAAAATTGAAATAAATATAGATATATTATTGATTCATTTCTTTAATGTAGGGTTCACAATCAAAAAACCCTGTTTCTTCTACGTCATCGAAACGCTCCACAAATTATAGTACCAAAAATGTTGATCAAGGAAGTTATGATCTAGCACTTCGTCAGCTTAAAGATATGGGATTTACCGATATGACCCGTAACCGCGAGGTTTTAGTTACGACAAATGGAAATCTTAGTTCAGCTATTGAAATTTTGTGCCGTTTGCCTGGCGGAAATTCAAAGCCTGTGTCATCTAATTCCAATATTTCTAGCGCTTCCAATGCTCCACCTAAATCAGATGATGAAAAATTGGCTCACCTAAAAAAACTTGGATTTCATGATGATGCAAAGAACCGTGAAATTCTTCGACGGACTGGTGGAAATGTAGAAGTGGCAGTCACATTACTCACAGAAAATCGTTCATCTACGTCACAAAATGCATCCAATTTAACCTTAAACATTCCCCTTCAAATGCAAAGCCAACAGACTATTAGTGCAGCTCCTTCATCACAAAATCCCGGTTCACAACAATTATCTAGTCAGCAATCTTCAAATATCTGGGGTGAATTTTCTCAAGGCTCAGGTTTGTGAGATATATATTTATAGATTCAACATTTATCAGTTTAATTAAAGTAGTATCGATTTCCTGAATTTAGTGAACGTGCAACAGCAACAACAAAAAGCGAAACTAGATAAGGATGCGATAATGTCTCTTTATAACACACCGAAACCATCTGTCTACAGTAATTTGAATCAGACATCCCAATTTGGAACTCCAGGGGTCGGGATAATGCAAAATCAGACCGGACAATTTGGAATGATGCAACAACAAAACCAGACCGGACAATTTGGAATGATGCAACAACAAAACCCGACCGGACAATTTGGAATGATGCAACAGCAAAACCCGACCGGACAATTTGGAATGATGCAACAGCAAAATAAGGAAGGTCAATTTGGAATGATGCAACAACAAAATCAGGCCGGACAACTTGGTTTTCCTGTTCAGACAAATGACTTCGGGTTGAATAGTGCGGGAACACTCAATAATAATAACATGATTCCTTACGGAAATGTTAACCAACAGACTACCCCCTCTAATATGGCATATGCTGGAGTTCCTGTGAATAATTCTAATTCTTTTGGGACTGGTGATTTGAATAATGGATATGGTGGATTGGGTAATTTGAATAGTGGAGCTAGCGGCTTGGTGAAAAACCCAGCAACAAATTATGGTTTTGGTGGGACACCAGGATTTACTACAAGCAATTCTGTAAGTTTCTCGTAAAATTAAAGTTAATAACTTGCTAATGAAAGAATAAGACTAATAATGATTAGGTTAATGTAATGCAGACCAACACTAACGCAATAAACACAATGGGAACCTTAAACCGACAAAATTCTATTCCATTCACTAACACACAACCAGCATTTGGATTAGTTGCTAATAATAACCAAACGAGCTTTGGAAGTTTAACTCCCTCATATTCAACAGTGACACCTAATGGAGGAATGAATCAGCAACAAACTTCATTGGCATTATATAATATTCAACATACTGGTGGTTATCCTAATGGTCAACAAAACCATGGATTCCAGAAAAATTCACTTTTGTGATTGAATACAATAATTTAAATGGATCTGAATGAGCTGGTATGAATAATTTTTGAAGCTTAACAAAAATTAGATTATTTTAAGCCATGACGATTCTAGAACTTCATTTGTACATTGATCACGAATAGCATTTGACTATTTTTAATTCTGAACGTGAATAGTATCATAATAATAGAGCTTTATAATGGTGATTTATAGATTATGTTTGATTATTTCATTTGAAATTTTACTTCACATCGATTTGTTTGCATTCTAATTAAATGAACTTTATTGGGTCATATTAGATACATCATAACTTCCATTAACAAGAGAAATTACACTATCTAAAATTTGTATAATTGTTAATGTATTTTATAGAATAATTATAAACTTAGGAAAAAATAAAAAGATCAAAAGGCGTACACGTTATTTTTTTATAAAGTCAGCTAAAGAATTCAACAAACGTTACAGGGAATTCAAAATATTTAAACGTTTTCTTTAAATTTACCAAACGAGTAACATATATAATAATGTTAGACATTCGTGAACCTCAATTAAATATTAATTGTATACCGTATTATCGATAAGCACGCTCAAATTATATTAATTTTATATCTTCATTATGTAGTCTTTCAATAACATTGAATTGTTATATAATATTTATTGTTCTTATAATAAATACTATTAGCAAAATTTTATAAAAAAAATCTTTACTGTGGATAACTTTAAATGTTGATAATTTGTACGAAATAAAAAAAAAAATTTTTTTTGTAACTAAACAACTTTATTTAATTGACAAAAAACAAAAAAATAATTTAATTGAAATTTTCATATTCTTTTTCCATTAATTCTTTTTTTTTTTTTTTTAAATACATTTTTCGTTTATTTTTATATCTTGTTTAAAAAAGTTTTTTAATCAAAAAAAATTTTTTTACAATTTAATAATATTAATATATTTACTTAAAAATTTAAATACAAATTATTGTTATTCTTTTTTTAATCTACAATCAAGCTGAAGTTACACATTTATTAAATTATATTAAATTATTACAGATATAAAAAATACATAAATATATATATTAGTTTTATAATCAAAAATAAATTTTTAAAATTATAAATTTAAGAAAGTTCGATAGTTTGTTTACTTTTAATAAATATTTTTATTGAAATATAATTGTAAATAAGTTTTAATAATAATTTTAAATAAAACTATATTTAAAAAAATCAATTTTATTATATTGTTAAAAGTGAATTAATTTTGAAATTGCAATTTCAATTATATTTTAAAAGATTTAAATTTTAAAAATATTTTTATTTATTTTTAATAAAAAATCTTGATAAAAAAATTGTTATAAATATATTTAATTAATAACTTATAATAAAAATATAACTTTTTTAAAAAAAAACCCTTTTTCACTTTGTTAGAAAATTTTCTTTTTTGAAAAATTTCTTTTCTTTTTTTTCCTTTTCTTTTACACAAGATAAAATTCTATAATAAAATGAATTTGAGATATATTGCTACTATATAAAACTCTTTTAACTAGTAAGTATTATTTTTCAAGAAATATATACAAATATAGTATTGATTAATATATTTAAAAGAAATATATTTTTTTAAAAAAGTATAAACAAATCAAATTTGTATATGTTAGTAATTTAAGACAAGAATTAAAAAAGCTTAAGTAATTAATTTTTTTTTTTACAAAGTTTTATATACATTTGGCAATCACAAGCTTAAGTATAATTAAGTATAATTATATATATATTTTTATCTACTCATTTATTTTCTTTTTCAATTTTTCTTGTCTTTTCTCTCTAAACTATTTTTTCTTTTGAAATTTTTTTTTTTTAAAACTATTCATTTTCAATTCTTGTTATACTATATTATTTTATTACTCTTAATTATACCAAGAATAGTTTTTTTCTATTAAATATAATAGACTTTCTTAGTAAAAACTTATTCTTAGATACTTTAGTTAATAAACTTATTTCTTTTTTTACTATCAATTCAAAAAACTATAATTGGTTTTTTCTTTTCAAAAAATTAGCAAAGAAAAATTATAATATATTGATTATAAGATCTCAATATAAATAAAATCATAAATATCACATAACTATAATCAAAATTACATATGAATAAACAAATTGAATTATTTATCTACTATTATATTATTTTTTATCAATTTTATCTAATCATTAGTGTCCTTTTTAATATTGATACAATTTGGATTAATAATTTATTTATTAGAAAAAGTCAATTATAAAGTTGAAAAAAAATTAATATAAAAGTTTTTACTTGTAAACCAAAAATTTTTTACTTTTTTTATAAGTTTTTTTTTTTCTATAACTAGTATATATCTTGTTTTACAACCTGTGTATTTGTAGTATAGTGGTTAATACTCCACAAATCAAATTACAAGATACCAGTTCAACTCCAAGTGAGAGTGGTTAAATAAAATTAATATGGTATCTGACACTATAACCTGTATAAGTGCTGTTTTTTATGAGAAGCCATTTTACATGCTGATCCAGCAGGTGTTGAAATTGTGATTTCCAGAAAAAATGTTGTGGCGTGACAATAATCTGGTTGGTGTTACAATGATTGCTGGAAGTTGTAAAGTGTATGAGGTGTCCATTTTCAGTAAGATGACTTGATGATCATTTCCTTGTGATACCTAATGTCTTTTTTTACAAGTTTCCAGAAAGACCTTATTTCAATCCAATAATAAATCACTTTGACAATTACCTATTTCAAAAAAACAGCCAAAACAATAGTAAGTACCAATAACTGAAACAATCTATGGACAGTAAGTCTATAAGATAAGTTTCTTGAACATTCTTGAATAGTTCTAGAAAGGTGAAAATTAAATAATATGTCTATCTGCAAGTGATCAGGTTTAGAAGAATTTTTTTTATAGAAATTCTATTCCTCTAATAAGTACTATTTCCAGTTCTCCTCTTCATATTTTCCCTTAATACATTCCTAGTTAAAAATAGAATCTTATATATAATAATGATATTGATGGAGCTTTAGCATATTAGTTTTGATATACAGTATATAAATCTCTAGGTTTATAATCAATAGCAATAAGTCAATATAAAGATAAAACCTAATATAATCTAGCAATATCTAAAGTAATTTATAGGTAACTTTTTTTTATAATATATGATATAAAGCATATATAAATTAAATAAAAAGAATACATAGACATGGTCTAGCTAGTCAAGTTAAAAAAATATACTATATATATATATATCTTGTTTTACAAGGTTTTCTTTTTTTGGGGGGGTTTCCTTTCATAGATAAGTATTATTTCTTTATTTGATATTGTATATAATATGGTATACATCATAAAAGAAACAACATCTCTTACGTACATATATAGCAAGTTAAATGCTAGCCTGCTTACGCGAACACATCTAGCTAATATTGAAAAAGAAATTCAAAACAATACTATATACTAGCTGTGCCTGAATAGCAGCT